GGTTCGGCACTCACTGCCACCATTATAATATCCTGACCTATGCGTGGCCTTGGTTGGGTCGGGGCGTGGCGTGATAAAACGGGAGGTTGCGTGTTTCTGCAGAAGACAATATAGAGATCTCTTCCATAACGAGTCCCAACCCCTCACGTATACCAGTTATATCCGGCAATACTCTAGACATCACACAATAAGTAGGTGGAAAAGAACCAGTCCTATTCTGATGAAATAGTGTCTTATGAGATGAAATGGAAGAACAGGAAACAATAGAGAAGGCGATAGCGTGGGAGTCAGAGTAGGGCAAAATCTTGGAGAAATTGAGAGGGGTTACAAAAGGACGGATAGCGAAGCTAGTTCTTGGCGGTACGAGGGTCGTTAGAAAAAGAAATGCAATCCACGGATGGGGAAAACGATGCGTGCACGGTAGTATTGCAGGACGGTGAACGGAAAAACTTCCAGTCAACCACGAGGAAATCGGTCTAGCGCAGGTCCTGAAAGTTCGGAAAGTGAAAAAGTGTCTGTTAAAACAAGACGGGAATCAGTGGTTCGGGTTGGCCCGTTACAACGTATTGTATTTAGTATTATAGCAAACCAAGGTGGTCAATGTGCGAATCCGTCCACTTTAATCCGAAAGATAACAAACTAACGCGGTTACCGGACGAAAACCAACGAGTATAACCCAAACAAGAAGAAGACTTGTTAAACTAAGAAGCTAAATTATGTTTTGTGAAGTATGAATTTAAGGAACAGTTCATTAGTCCTGGAAATATAATAACGTCGAAGGTCATTTGATACATAGGTCGCCTATAGTGGTGTTTTCAAACGAACTCCCCCTGTCAGAGCGAAGCTTGTCGGGGGCGCCCCACCTTCCATTAAAACAATAAAAAAATGGCCTAGGGGACTGTGTCGGCAAACACATCTGACAGGGCTTCTACTTCGGCCATCTTTGTGAAGAAATCAACCATCACTAGAATGTACCGGTTACCTCTGTGGGACTCGGATATGGGTCCGATTATGCCAATGCCATCGCGCTCGTTGAGATACCCGGTCAAGATTGGATGAAGGGAGGCCCTATTTAGCTTTCGTGGTGGCTTAAGCTGATTGCATTGGGTGCAGTACCGTATGCAATTCCAAACAGAGCGCTTTAAATTAGGCCAGTAGTATCTGCGCCTAAGGGCCCACTCGGTCTTATAGATACCTACATGTCCTAACTCTGCGTATACCCTCTCTATAACTTTGTCTACTATGGATAGTGGTAGAAGGATACGTCGTAGATACTGATCGCTATCTCTATAAAACAAGACGCTGTTATCAAAAAATAACTTATACCAAACTTCGCAGCGCTTTTCGTAGTTCTGTCCACTTACTTCGGCCGTGCGCATCGATCGAGCCTCACTAAGCTTCCTATGGTAAATTGGCCCAGTGTGCGAGTCTTCACGTTGTGCCTGCACCCAAAGATAACTCTGGTCATCGTGAAGCGAAATCGCACTTATGGTTATTTCCGTGCACGATGGACATTCGCCATGCGGTCTATATGGCTTCTTCGATAGGGCATCAGCATTGTTGTGCAGCCGACCCGACCGGTATATACATTCGAACTCATAACCTGCTAGCCGCTATTGCCATCATGCGACTTGGCCCTCCGGGTTCTTGAAATTACGAAGCCATGTTAGCGAGCTATGTTCGGTTCTATCTAGGACCTTACGGTACTGTAGGAATGGTCGGCATTCTTCAATGAAAAATAAGAGAACAAGCCTCTCTTTCCTAGTCACACAATACCGCTTCTTGGCTTTGCTAAGGCATCGACTTAAGTACTGAAAAATACATTCCGTCTTGTTAGCTTGGTATTGTGATAAAACCGCGCTATTTGCGAGTTCACTTGCGTCTGTGCCAATTATGAATTCTTCCGCCTGTTGGCTGATGTCAGGTTACGCGAGGATGGGACTGGAACACAGGTTGTCCTTTAAAGTTGCGAAGCTCGCTGCACATTCCGGTGCCCACTTAAAGCGCGCTCCCTTTTGGGTGAGCTTCTTTAGAGGTGCAGCTATATATGTATAGTCCTTAACAAACTTCTTATAGTAGGACGCGAGACCCGTAAAACTTCTGACCTCAGTCACATTGCGAGGTGTCGGCCACTCGCGGATTTCTGTAGCCTTATCTTTATCGTTTTCGACCCCAGGGGCGGACGCAACATGTCCTAAGAACTTAACCTTGTCTCGTAGAAGTACGCACTTCACCGGCTTAAGAGTAAGGCCTGCCTGTTTCACACTGTCGGATACCACACGCAAATTATGCAAATGATCGTCGAAGTCCTTTCCAAGAATAATGATGTCATCGAGATACACTTAAGAGGTCTTCGGGATAAATTGTACTAGAAATTTGGTTCATAAGCCGTTGGAGACTACTAGGCGCACTAGCTAGACCAAAAGGCATAGTCTCAAATTCGTATAATCCAGAGGGAACTGAGAAAGCAGTTCCCTCACAGTCGGACGGCCTGAATTCTACCTGCGAATATCTGGCAGCCATATCTAACGTCGAGAACATCCTATTACATAAAAGGTTTCATCAATGCGAGGTAGCGGGAAGGAGTCTTTGGTCCTGACATCGTTTAACTTCCGATAATCTACGCAAAATCTTATTGTCCCGTCCTTCTTATCGACTAAAACGACCGGAGACGACCAAGGAGAGCTAGATGGCTTAATTATCTTTCGATCGAGCATATCATCTATCATCTCCTTTAACTGTGCCTGGTAGAGCACAGGTAATCGTCAAGGCGGCATCTTAGTCGGTCGGGCTGTTTCCGTGTGTACATATTTTATGGTGAGCCGCGTTGGTTCGGCCGTTTGAACGGCATTCCCAATCGAAAATGTCCC